CACCAGCTCCAGCTGCACCGTCGGCTCCAGCACCTGCACGAGGACGAACGTCAGCACCTCCAGCTCCAGCCCCTGCAGCACCTCCAGCCCTAGTACCAGTAGCACCACCAGCAGCTCCAGCAGCTCCAGTACCGACAGCAGCACCAGCAGCACCGCCAGCAGGACCAGCACCAGCAGCACCTCCAGCAGCTCCAGTACCTCCAGCAGCACCAGCAGCACCTCCAGCAGCTCCAGGGCCTCCAGCAAGCGGCACCTCAGAACTAGGAGCTCCACTCCGGAGGCTGCAGCGCCGAGCGTACCACTCACGTAGCCGCTGAGGGGAGGGAGGCTCCGGCCGCAAAAGAGTACCCGCAGCACCACCAGCCCCAACTCCGGCAGAACCCCCAGCTCCAATAGCCCCAGGCTCAGCACCCCCAGTCCCAGCACCCCCAGGCTCAGCACCCCCAGTCTCAGTACCCTCAGTCTCAGCACCCCCAGGCTCAGCACCCCCAGTCTCAGCACCCCCAGGCTCATGACCCCTTGCAGGACCAGAGTTGACAGCTACCTCGTCAGGCTCGACTGCGTCTACCTGGGAAACACCTGAGGGAGCAGGACCCTGGGGAGGGAGGGGGTCTACCGAAGGGGCACCTGGGGTGAGGAAGAGAGGCGGGGGAGGGAGCAGAGCAGTCTGGTAGGGGAACAAACGGTAAAAGGGTACCGACTCGTCAAAAGTGACGTCCTGAGAGGGGAAGACACGGCGCGAGGTGGGGTGGTAAAACTGCCAACCAGGCGCGTCGGGGACAAAGCCAAGGAAGACACAGGGCACAGCGCGGGCGGAGAGCTTGTCCGCAGTGGTATCGCGGACAAAGGCACGAGCACCCCAGACCCGGAAACGCGACGCATCGCCAACCTGCCCCGTCCACAGCAGTGTGGGCGAGGTCTCCGGAGCAGAGACACGGGGCCAGAGGTTGAGCTGATGCGCAGCGTACCGGACTGCAAACGGCCACAGGAAATGGGGGGCACCCGCATGGATCAAGGAGGTAAGAGCGATCTCCATGACTAAGCCAATGCGGCGCTCAGCAACCCCATTCTGCTGTGGAGAGGCCGGAAGCGTGAACGTCTGGCGGATGCCGTGCTCCGCACAGTAGGCTGCCAAGAGGTCGGAGGAAAACTCACCACCTCAGTCCAAGTGCAGACGCAGGACGGGAAAGTCCGTCTGGAACCGCTCGCGGAGCTGGAGACGAGCAGCGCGGATCCAAGGGATCAAAACATCAGGGACCTCACCCTTGGTGCGCAAGGGGAAGACCGTGGTGTAGCGCGTGTAGTCGTCGACAACCAGCAGGAAGTACCGCTCGTGGACGCGGGCTGGGCCCCACACGTCCAGGTGGAGAGTCTGCAGGGGAGCCTCTATGGGAGGGAACGAGGAGGAGTGAGGAGCGGCGCGCTGCCGCCCCTCGACACAGGGAAGACAGGGAGGAGCAGGCGAGGGTGGGAGGGGAGGGAGAACCCTAGGAAGACCAGAGACAAGGTACCGGGAGTGCATGCCACGAAGGCGCTGCACTGACGGGTGACCAAGACGGTGGTGCCAGAGAACTGTCTGGTGCGACATGGAGCGACACGAGCAGGGGGCGGACAACTGACCTGACACAGACGCAGACGCCGCTACCTGAGGGGACTCAGTGGTCAGTATGTACAAGTCCGACCCCGGCTGCCGAGTGAAGGTAGCCAGGTGCTGACCCGTCTGGGCACACGTGTAGTGTGTCACACGCTCGTAGGCAGGGGTGAACTGGTGAACACCCGCATCCTGGAGCGCAGAACCCGCCACCAAGTTCGTAGAGAACGAGGGGAGGTAAAGGCCCGACAGTGTGCCGGACGGGACAGCAGGACAAGGGAGGGCAGTGGTGGAGGTCGCAAGGACTGGACCCCCGGAGGGGTCAGCCAGGGAGACAGCAACCGGTCTAGGGAGCTGCTCTAGGGCAGTGCGGTCGCGAAAGAAACAGCGGGAAGCACCTGAGTCCAGTGTGAAGGTGTGCAGTGCCTCAGTAGACGTAGGACCTGAAGGCGCAGCCTCACAAGCACCTGAAGCAGCAGACTCACGAGCGCCTAGGGCAGCAGCCTCACCAGCACCTGGAGCAGGAGACGCACGAGCACCTAGAGCAGCAGCCTCACCGACACCTGGAGCAGCAGACTAGATACCGGGGTCAGGCTGCACACACAGGTGAAAGGCTCCCTCGGCACTAGTAGACAATGCATACATTGCAGTGAGAATAGCATCATAGTCAAGAGCAAAGATATCTACCCTCTGCCTAAGCAGCTCCACCCAGTCGAGGAGCTTAGCGTTGTCGCCAAACTCTGTACGCCAAGCGTCGCTCAGACTGGCGAAGCAGCGAGACTCTGTGTGACCAGGCGTCCCACAAGGCTGACCAGTCCGGACACCCGTGCTAACAACGTACGGGCAGCGAGCAGTACTCAGCGACCCTCTACTCTGAGCGTACCACTTACGAAGCTGCTGAGGCGAACGAGTCTCGCGCAGACGACGCTGCTGCTGCACCGGGCCACTACAAGAAACTCCCCAACTACCCACTCCAGGACGACTCCTACTACCGCCACCCCGACAACCCCAACTGGCGTACCACGCACGAAGCTGCTGGGGCGTGAGGGACACGCGCGGACGACCCTGGAGCTGCATCTGGCCACGCCAGGAGCAGCAGTAGAAACAGTAGCAGCAGAAGTAACAGCAGTGGCAGCACGGGCAGGGCAGTGCTCACCAGTGGTGGGAAGGGCAGGCGCACGACGGAGGCGACTGCGGGGCCGCTACAGCGGCAGGGCTGGGGCCGCGACCGCGGCAGGGAGCTCCACGGCAGTTGATTCAGGGCGAGACCGGGCCGCGACAACAGTTGCTGCAGGGCAGGGAGAGGGCCGTGATGGTCGTTGCTGCAGGGGCGGTTGCTCCAGGGGCCAGGGGCGGCTGCTGCAGTGGCGGCTGCTCCAGGGGCGGCTGCTCCAGGGGCCAGGGGCGGCTGCTACAGTGGCGGCTGCTCCAGGGGCGGCTGCTCTAGGGGCGGCTGCTCCAGGGGCCAGGGGCGGCTCCTGCAGTGGCGGCTGCTCCAGTGGCCAGGGGCGGCTGCTGCAGGGGCGGCCGCTCCAGGGGCCAGGGGCGGCTGCAGGTGCGGCTGCTCCAGCGGCCAGGGGCGGCTGCTGCAGTGGCGGCTGCTCCAGGGGCCAGGGGCGGCTGCTGCAGGGGCGGCTGCTCCAGTGGCAGCTGCTCCAGGGGCCAGGCGCGGGGTAGGTCAGGGCGACGCGGCGGGCAGGAGTAACGCGCGGGCAGTGGCGACGCCGCGGGCAGGGGCGACGCGGCGGGCAGGACGACGCGGCGGGCAGGGGCGACGCCGCGGGCAGGGCGACGTGGCGGGCAGCTGGGCGTGGCCGCGTCAGTAGCAGGGCGCGGCCGCGTCACTGCATGGCGGGGCCGCGTCACTGCAGGGCGGGGCCACGTCACTGCAGGGCGGGGCCGCGTCCGCGTCGGCTGCAGGGCGAGGCCGCGACCGCGGCAGGGTGAGGCCGCGTCAGCTACAAGGCGGGGCCGCGACTGCGACCTGACGGGGCCGCGACAGCGACCTGACGGGGCCGCGACAGCGACCTGACGGGGTTGCGCGCAGGCCTGACGGGCCTGCAGAGGCTGCGTGCGGGCGGCGAGGGCCTACAGGGGCGGCGCGCGGTCGGGCAGAGGCTGCGCGCGGGCCTGACGGGCCTGCAGGGGCGGCTCTCGGGCCAGACGGGCCTGCAGAGGCGGCTCGGGGGCCTGACGGGTCTGCAGAGGCGGCTCGGGGGCCTGACGGACCTGCAGGGGCGGCTCGAGGGCCTTGCTAGCTTGCACGGGCGTCGCACTGGCCTAGGGCAGCAGGAGGCTGCGCGAGAGCTGCAGGACGGCACGCGGGCAGAACGAAGGGCGGGGCGCGCGAGGGCGCACTAGCAGAAAAAGGCGCACGAGGGCGCACGAGCAAAGAAAGGCGCACGAGGGCGCACATAGGGTAGGGCGCACGAGGGCGCTCCTAGCAGAATAGTGGGCCCGTAGTAGAAAGCGGTCCTATGTGGCAACCTAGGCTCGTGATACCATGTTAGAATGAACAAGAGTGATTGCACTAGGAAAGAGTTGGGTACAAGTAGGAAACCCTAAACTTACTGTACCCCATAGTAACTACCCCACTACAGCCTAAACAAACTGTAGCAGATATGACATTTGACAGGCTGTGAATTCACTGCGGATTGTCAACTCCCTGTGCTAACCACGTTATAAACCTCCCCCCCCCCCCGACTAATTCCCTCCTTGTGTGTGTTCTTTTGCCTTGGCAGAATGCGCAAAAGACTGCGAGTCTTTTTGGAAGTTCGTCAGAATCAACAGGGCGCGGCACAACATAGACCTAAGCCGCATCATCAATGCGGATCAGACGCCCCTCTTCGTTGAGATGCCGGCCGAGAGGACCCTTGACCACCGTGGTGCGCGCTCGGTCCCGATCCGCACGGCAGGCTACGAGAAGATGCAGCTGACAGTGATGCTCACGTGCACGGCATCCGGGGAGAAGTTGCGGCCGTGGGTGTGGTTCAAAATGAAGAACGTGCCGAAGTGTGACGTCCCCGCAGGTGAGCTAAACGAATAGAGATGGATAGAGACCACCGTGGCCCTGTTTGGCTGACACCCCTATCTCCCTTTGTGCCTGGAAGGAGTGGTGGTCCAAGCACAGGACAACGGTTGGATGGACGAGACCGCTGTGAAGACTTGGCTGACGAAGGAGGTGCTGCCCCATCTCAACCCCCAGCGCGGCCAGTGCGCACGGCGCGCGATGCTGGTGCTGGACTCGTACCGCGGCCACATCACCCAGGGCATGCTTCGCTCCTATCGCACGCACAGCATCACCCCCGCTGTTATCCCTGCAGGTTGCACCAGTCAAATTCAACCACTTGATGTTTCCATCACCCGGTGTTTCAAGGCCGGGGTGCGAGCTCGCTACGCCAGGTGGTTCATGCGTGAAGGCCTTTACCTGAAGACGAAGCACGGTGAGTCCACTGTCGGGCATCTGTAAATGCATGCCTAAACCCTTTTGATGTACCGTATCTGACGGCACGCTTGCCCTGTATGTGACCCACCCGCAGGGAACCTGAGGAGACCGTGGTGCTGCAGTGGATAGCGGAGGCGTGGGATCAAGTCCCTAGGCAGGTGATCATTGACGCGTTCCGCCACTGTGGCATCTCAAGCAAGCTGGATGGGACCGAGAACCATCTAGTGATGTCCCACCTGCGCGCGAGGAGCACCACCGATGTCACCGAAGACATGTGCCTCGGGGGCACCACAGGCGACAACACGCGCCTGCTTGGGAAGGCCCCCGAGGAGGGGGAGGAGGAGGAGGAGGAGGAGGAGGAGGAGGAGGAGGAGGAGGAGGAGGAGGAGGAGGAGGAGGAGGAGGAGGAGGAGGAGCAGCTGCAGGCGGAGGGCGTCAGGGAGGTGGGCGCGGCAACCGGCCTGGATGTGCTGTACCAGGAGACCCCCCACTACCGGGGAGCGGCGGCGGAGGCTGACCGCATGATCGAGCCCGTGCAGACGGCCCGGCACGCCTGGCGAGTGCCAGACTTGGGGATTCAGGAGCCTGCATCTGCTAGTGCAGATGAGGAGGGCGTCACCTAGGGGGGCTAGGTAGAATTAGTAAGATTGGATAAATGCATGCATGTACCCCCCCCCCTCCTGAATGAAAGAACCGTTCTAAAGACACCCCTCCCCTTTATAAGGAAACCCTAAACCCTAGTACTGTTTAGAAGACACTGTCTTACCTCGTACACGCATGTAGGTGGCTTATAATCAGGAACACCCATCTATAAGATACACCCGTTATAAAAACACCCCCTGTCTTCAATTCGACACTGTCTCATATCCGGGCGATGACGGTATGGGGGTGTGTAAGACTGTGTAGTTTGTCTAGCCTGCAATGGGGTACTCTATAGTGAGTACGGCCCCTTAGGGTTTCCTATATGTATCCACCTGCTTGCTAGTGCATTTCCTCTCTCTTTTGCCTATTCTCTCTTGCCTAGCTAGCTAAACCGTAGCTATGGCTCCTTCGTTCTGCCTGCTATTTTGACAACAATCTCAATTTTTTTGGGGGGTAGACGTCTCTCAGCGACACAGCACCGCCGCTCGAAGTGCTCTCTCGTAATCACGCACGGCCATGACAGAGGCTCTCGCTGAATTTTCCCGACACCCCCGCCATGGCCGAATTCACTCTTGCGACACTGACGTAGGAGCAACTCGATCGTCTCGTGCGCCAAGTTGAGGAATCGTCGCTCAAAATTGCGACGCTCACGGCGGAACGTGACTCCGCGCGTCAGCAATCCACGGTGAATACTCCGGCGCCACCACACGCACCTGCAAATACACCCGCACAATCGGAGGAGCCGATCATCATTTCATCAGGCACACCGACACAGAATGACAGCGTGGGACAGCGCTCAGGCGCAGCCAGTGATGGCGCCGCCCACTCAATGCCTGGCATGGAGAGGAACAGGGTCGCGCCAAGCCCACGGGAGCCTCGTGAAGCCGGTCCACACGTGGAATTCGCGGCGACAAGTGGCGACCACGCCATCATGGCGCCAATGCCACTCAAACCGCAGCGCCCACCCTGTTTCGACCCGAGCCAGCGTGGAGGTCCGACGGTTCAGTCGTGGGTCTTCACGATGAATGTATTTTTCGACGCAAACTATATCGAGTCGGACGCAGCGAAGATCAGATACGCCGTCTCGCTGCTGAGGGGCCCCGCCATGGACTGGTGGCGAATCATCGTGACGTCGCCACGCGCCTACGAGCCACCGTCGCAAGAGGAAGAGCCCACGGGTCCAGCCGTCACCTGGAGTTCATTATGCGAAACCGCCCAGTACAGCACGTGGGATGCGTGGGTGCAGGGCTTCGGGCGCGCTTCAAGCCAATCGCGGCTTCTATTTCGGCGCGCCAGAGACTGCATACTTGGCGGCACCTCGGGTCGGTTCAAGAATATACGAGTGGTTTTCTCGCATTATGCGAGCAAGTCGGCTACATGCACGAAGCGGAGCGGGTGGACCGTTACGTCGGAGGGCTGAAGCCAGATATCTCGCACGAAATCATGCTACGCGGACTCTCGAACTTTAACGAGATTCTCGCGCTCGCCGAGAAAATCGACATTTTGCGCCGTCCGAGACCGGGGTCCTACTACGGACATCGCCCTCGGGGACCGATCGAGCACGCCACCGTATATGCCGTTGCGACAAATGCAGCTGCCGCACCGTTTAAGGGGCGCTGCTTTGCTTGCAATAGGCCGGGCCATCGTGTTGTGTGATGCAATCATATGCATTCACGTCTGTCTGCCTCCCATCATATGTTCGTGCGTTGCATGCGTGGTGTGAGCGTGTGCAAGAAATTGTGTTTTGTGTGGTTTGAATTTTCTGAGTGTGTGCAAATGTTATTTGGCTTGAGCAGATATCTGAAGTGACTTCTCTGCTCAAGAGCTCTCCGACGAACCAAGTATCGCTTCAATCGGAGCACGATCAAGAAAGTTACGAACGTTGGAGTTCGTATGCTTTTCATATTTGATTGTGGCAACTGTGGGAAGTTGTGGGGTTGACTCAATATGGGGTACAGACTTTTGGGGTTGGGAAATTCGTCTTTTCTACTGTAGTTGCTGCCAAATGGTTGGTAGAAACCAAACCAGGCTGGCAAGTGTGGCCAAATTGGGTTGAGGTGGATTGTGGAGGTTGGGATAGTGACAAAGGTCAAAGTTGGGTTGCCTATGGGGAAGGGAATTGCGTGGCATGGGGTTTCCTTGGTTGGGGACTCTCTTGGGACCTTCCCTCTCATCCTCCTCATCCCTTCCACCTGGTTTAGTGCTACTCTAACTCTCTTATGTAGTAATTGTGGAACTTGTGAGACTCTTGTGATTGAGTTAAGTTCTTATGGCTGCATACCCCCCCTGTGCGCCGAAATTGATACGTCGAGATTTAGTTCACCTCTTGATACGATTCAAATTGGGAATTGTAGCCACGGACTAGGGCTACAACATATCTGGGTTTGGTGAAGTTTTGAATGTGAACTTTTCGTCGACGGCGTTTCTTGTGAGCGCGACTTTTCTGTCCAGAATTCTAAGCCAACGATTTTGAGATATTTCGGCTCCTAATCTTCATAGACTCCATCCTTAGTCTCCAACACATCGCAAGAGTGAGTGCCCAGTGGAGCTGAGACGCCGTGGAGCAGAGCAGGGGAGGGAGTCTCCAAGGCAGGGAAATGCCAGCAGTCAGTAGGAATCGGGCCAACTACTGACGAGACTGCCTGCTCGCCCAACCCCACCGACCCTCACCGAGTCACAGTACTGGTTCATGCTATCGATCGGGCTCGGACGAATAAGGAGGGTACAGCGACGGATTGCTCAATACTGATCTACAGGAAAATACAGGGGGCAGCAGTGATGATTTTTATCGACGGAGGAGCAAGTCACAGTTTAGTTAATACCGCAACCGCACAGAAACTGCAACTGACACTTAGCCGGTGTTTACCAGAGATAGATGCACGCTTAGTTGACGGCACGCTACTGGCCATACGGGAAAAGGTGGAGAGAGTTAAAGTCCGCAACGGGGGGAATTTCGGGTTTACACAGGAAATGCTCGCGACGACACGGGATGGGCACGACATTTTACTGGGACGTGATTGGCTACGACGGTATAACCCGCAAATTGACTGGACGACGGGTAGCTGCACTGTGCGAAGTAGCAGTAACTGGGTCGAACTACCTCGCTGGCAGTCGCCTGAGTCTTCAACGATACATGTCAACGCCGTCACCATGAAACGGGCTGTCGCCGCTGGAGCTGACGTGTACGCAGTAGACATTGCAGTGGTAGAGGAAGCGGAGCAGCCGAATGACTTTAAGAAACTGCTGGCAGCGGTACCGCCTGAACTACAGGAATTGTTGAAACGATACCCGGGGATTTTTCCCGATGATTTAGCGGAGGGACTGCCACCTCAGCGAGCACATGACCACCGCATAGAATTAGAACCGGGGGCACAGCCAACCGTACAGCGACAGTTCAGACTGACACAACCCGAGCTCGACGAACTGAGGAAGTGGTTAGATTACATGTTAGAAAAGAAATTCATCTGACCGAGTTCGTCACCGTTCGCCGCACCGATACTGTTGTTGGTGCAACCCTACGGTTTGCATTCGGCTTGTTGTCCGTGTGCGTGCATGCGTGTGTGCATGGAATGGTATGAGGGCATGAAATAATATATATTTCATGCTTACAATAGTGTGTGAATGATGAGACATGATTTTGAATGTGTGTGTCGAGTCAATAGCGAGTTATCGCTAGTCGCGTGTCACGTCGTCGTTTGCGTGTCGTGTGCGGTTTTCTATTTTGTCGTGTGTGGAACGTTCGGCGTGTCGCAGGTGTGCGCAGCAGACTTTCAAGAACTCAAGGAAGAATTTACCTTGAAGAACCAGAGCCTTGGTTTCAAGAATCAAGTGATTTCGAAGCTCTCCAAAAGGGTAAACTTTAAGATAGAGAGAATAGTTGCATTACTTTGTGTAGTGTAACATTTCTCTTGGTGTAGGCCCTTCTGGAGGGTAGTTTCGAGACCCTTCATGGTTGGGGACAGTGTGGCACTGTTCCACATCGCTGTACCTCGGCTCTTGGGGTTTGTAGGAGCTGGGAGTCATTCCCAACTCGTAACTCTTCCTATCTTGTGTTCTAAGACTATAGTGGCTGCCATAGTACCGTTCGTTCAAACCGACGCTGTGTCGTCAATTCTTTATCAAATCGTGCAATCTAAATTGCTTATTGTAGACGACGTGAAGACGCTCCAGATCCAATTTGAATCAAGTCATTTGCAGCTGTGAGCAGAACGCTATCAACGTTTGAAGCCGCTGTGCAGAAATCCGACTATGCAGTCAATCTTTCGTTTTAGGCACATTCAAGCCTATTGTGAATATAACAAGTGGTATCAGAGCCCCTTGGAGCAGTTTCGACAATGTCTGGACCTGAGGAAAGGGGTGGCAGAGGTGCTGGTGGCAGTGGAGAAGCTCAAGCTCAAGGCCAACCCCGTGATTCAGCCATGGCGCCCATGCAACCAAGTCTTGGCCCACCTAGGGATGAGCCTAGGGTGTTTGGGCTTGACAAGTTCAACGGTGACAACTTTGCTGAATGGTCCTTCAAGATGGAGAACATCTTTGACCACTATGACCTGCTGGAGGTGATGGAAGGAACGGAGAAGCGCTCCGAGAACGACCCGGAGAAGAGCCCGTGGGTGCGGAAGAGCGCACAAGGCTATCTCTTACTTGGGCAAGCGTTGGGGAGCAGTCAGATCCGTCACATCAAGCCATTCCAGCGTGAACCAGAGAAAGGACCAAAGGCATGGGCTGCTCTCAAGGGTGTACATGCTCCTGCAACAGCGGCGGTAGCGGTGGTGTTGGAACGGCAAATGGCGGCACTACGAATTGAAGAAGACGAAGCGGTTGAAGAAGGGGTGCAGAAATTCTTCGACTTGTTGACGCGGCTTGAGGGAGCTGATTTGAACTACAGTGAGCTCCAAAAGAAGACCAAGTTGCTGGCCTTACTCCCAGAGTCATGGTCCTCGCTCATCATCAACCTTAATCGCGACTTGCCCCGCCTCTCGCT